AATACAGTGTAAAGGGATAGAAATAATATTAAAATGTTGAGTGAGAAGCTAAGAGGTGAAGCTGCCAGTAAATTTAATAGCAAAAGAATTAGAGTAAAAATAAGTGAAAAAGAGCTGGAGAATAATGTTCAAATATTATGTCACATGTTTTGGCCTCAAAACATTTCTAATATAGGGTAGAAAAGACATACAATGATATATGGAGATGCAATGAGTGACTAAGAAAGAATAATATAGAAAGAAAGATTAGGGAGATGAAAGAATAATAACAAATAAATTATTAGTATAGAGAGGGAAAGAAATAGGAATGTATTGTAGAGAGAATATTTACAAGGGAAGAAGGTGAGAACACTAAAATGACTCCTTCTGAGAGGTCGGGTGAAGGTAATTTTATTGATTTGAGCAGAGTCTCAATTAAATTTATTGTGAAGTATTTATAATTTTAATTAGTATCTTGATTATTTACAGGGAAAGAAGGTGAGAACACTAAAATGACTCCTTCTGAGAGGTCGGGTGAAGGTAATTTTATCGATTTGAGTAGAGTCTCAATTAAACTTACTGTAAAGTATTTATAATTTTAATTAGTATCTTGATTATTTATAGGGGAAGTTGAGATAACTGAAATGACTCATTTTCAGGGGTCGGATGGAGGTAATTTTATTGATTTGAGCAAGGTCTCAATTAAATTTATTGTGAAGTATTTATAATTTTGTGAAATATTTATAATTTTAATTAGTATCTTGATTATTTATAGGGGAAGTTGAGATAACTGAAATAACTCATTCTCAGGGGTCGGATGGAGGTAATTTTATTGATTTGAGTAAGGTCTCAATTAAATTTACTGTGAAGTATTTGTAATTTTGTGAAGTATTTATAATTTTAATTAGTATCTTGATTATTTAGAGGAGAAAAAGGTGTGAACATTGAAATGACTCATTCTGAAGGGTCGGGTGGAGGTAATTTTATTGATTTGAACAGAATCTCAATTAAATTTACTGTGAAGTATTTATAATTTTAATTAGTATCTTGATTATTTACGGGGGGAAAAAAAGTGAGATAACTGAAATTATTCATTCTAGGGGTTGGATGGAGGTAATTTTATTGATTTGAGCAGGGTCTGAATTAAACTTACTGTAAACTATTTATAATTTTAATTAGTATCTTGATTATTCACATGAGAAGAAGATAAGATGACTGAAGATCCTCGCCTTGTGGAATTGAGAAAGAGCATTTGCAACGGAGATCGGGAGGCTGTTGAGCAGTTTTTTGATCAGGGGCGTCCACTAGGTACAATAATATTATCAAACGAAGGCTACACTGCTCTTCATGTTGCAATACTGGCCGGACAATATGGGATCGCCAAGAAATTGATAGAGAAGATGTCGCCAACAGATCTGGAAATCAAGACTGCCAGTGACAGTGGTGGTCACACGGTTCTTACCTTAGTTGCAACGACGGGAAGAACAGACTTGGCAATGGACATAGTCCAAAAGAACCGCAATTTACTTGCAATTGAAAATGATCGAGGCTATATCCCAGTAACTGCCGCATGTAATGTGGGCCACAAGGAGATGACACAATACCTTTATTTTGTGACCCCACCAGAAGTCTTGGTATCACGTAAAGGCAAATATGGGTTCGATCTCATGAGGGCGGGCGTGGATAACAAATTTTTTGGTAATCGTATAATCAAACTTTTTTATTTATGTAGTGTCGTGTGTTAGGGATCCAAGATGCATGAGAGCAGTTAGTGGCCCGGCCCACTGGCTCCACTAGCCACACTAGTAGCAAATATCTTGGTCGGAAAATTTTTAAAATTAAATGTAACATTATTTAAAAATAAATCTCTAAAATTTAAATTTAAAATAAAGTTTTACTTGTTTGTGAATATTTCACACATTTTTTTGTAGTATCATGTTTAAACATGTAAATTTATTATTTTTAGTTAATTTTGATTAATATTTTATATATTTTGATAAAATAATAATAATAATAATAGTAATTAATAAGAATAACAACACTTACACAACCCAACAGTCCTGAAAGCCTTTAGTTTCTTAATTTTACAGTATGATTTTGTTTTCAATTGAGTACTTACTAAAATTTTTTCCCTAACTGGGTTGGTCATAGTTGGCTTCTTGAAATATATTTTTACAGTAGTGGAGTAGATAATGGGTAACTTTTCTCCTACTTATGAATCAGATATTTGCTTGGATCTACTTCAACGCAACCCAAAGTTGATTGTTCCTTCAGACGAAGAAATGCTGGAATTTTCTCCTATTTTTATAATGTCACGTCAACCTAAAGCATTCTTTAGTGGATGTAAGCTTCGGTGCTGGCAAATATGGATTTATGGCTGTAAGTATGGATTCCCTTTAATTTCATATTTTAATCTTTAAATTTTTGTTTTTTTTGGCTTTATATATATTGATTTAATCGAACAATTTGCGGTATATGTATTGAAGTGTTAAAGGTAGAGTTACCCACAATTTCCTCCGATGAAGTACGAATTCCTCTTGCGATCGAGACCTCAACATCGGAATACAAGGTAGTTGAGTGTATCCAAGTTGATTACATTATAACATGATTTCA